CGCCCCCCCACTTTGGGCTCTGGGGCTGCACCCACTACCACCCATATCCTGCCCCAGCAGTGGTTTTGGGGTGGTCCCCTATGCCGCCTCCCTGGGGGTGCTGCGGAAAGGGGTCCGTCCCCCACGTTGTGCTGCTGCACGGAGCATTTGCCCGTGGGGGACAGGGCTGGCACGGGGTGGGGGGAGACACACGGTGCCCCTTGATCTGATGGGATGGGGACGGAAGGACCCTCCGACCTTTCTGGTTGTTTTTTGAGATGGCCGTGGAAGCGCGCGGTGTAATAATCCAGCGTAGCGTGTGACAAAGTGGGGGTGAGTCAGGAGAGGGTAATTAAAACTTAATGAGAAGCTCGGGATGCCCCATCGTCGGGTTTCCCCTCTCTTAAATTCCTCCTCTGGGTGCCTCCTCCAGACTGTCCTGTGGGTGTTAAATACTCGGTGTTTGTTTAAGTAGCTTACCTAAAGCTTAATTAAATCTAAGAGCTAATGAGAAACAACCCTCACACCCCGATTTATGACACTTGCAAACGCTTTAGGGAGATCCCCAGCCTTTACGTGCAGCCAGTGTTGGGGAAAAAAAAAAAAAGAAGGACCAAATCTTGGTTTTATTCCCTAACGAGGAGCCGCCGCTCTGCGTTGCGGGGCTCCTTCGGGTCCCAGTGCCCGGGATAAACCCCGTCTGGTGTTTTCCAGCGGGCTCAGCAGCGCTCGGCTTAGGCCTGGGATTAAAATCGGAGTCCATCTTTTCTTCTTCAAGGTTACTCCTTGCAGGCTTGAGCCTCTTCACCTTAATTTAAGGATTCTCAAGCCCAGTCCCCTTCCAGTGCACTTTACCAGCCAAGGGAGCGTTCGCTTTTATTATTCCTCTTTATTGTTTACTTTCTCTTTATCCTTTAATCATTTACTCCCTGTCATGGCTCGTTAGGCTTCAGTCAGTTGTGGGAGCGATAAAGTCTTTGCTCCTTGTTATGACGAGTTGGAATCGCCGGAGGTCTTGGCGGGAGAGCTTTGCTCTCCTCTCATCGACAGCCGATGCATTTCTTGCAAGACAGGTGGGAGTACACCGCACAAGGGCTCGAAACGAGGGTGAAAATAAATAAATAGGATAAAACTATGCGGTAAAAGGCCAGGGGAGTTGTGTCTCCCCCCGCCATAGCTCCTGGGGTTTAAAATAGCTCTCTACTTCGGTATCGTCTTTCTCTTCCCCTCCCAGCTCGCCTTCTCCTCTGTCCCTGTCTTGTTTAACTTTGGGACAGGCTTTTTTTTTTTTTTTTTCTTTTCCTCCCCCTGGATAAAACCAAAATCCAAAAGCTCTGGCGGTGCCGTCCCCACCTTCCGGTGCGGCGGTCCGGACCCGTTGACGACTCGGAACCACCGGCGCAGCCCCGGCTCACCCCCCACCCCCACCCCCACCGCTCCCCCCAAGGTTAAGCGGGACCGGGGCTGGACGCCGGCCAGGGAAGCGGCTCAGGTGGCTGTCGGTGTCTGCCCGTCCTTCAGCCGCTGGGCTAACGAAGGTGCCTCGTCCTCCACGCGGCCGGTCGGAGCGCGTTACGCCGGGCGATGGAGTCCCTGTCGAGGTGAGGGCTTTGCTGCCGGGCCAGGAACCTCCTCCGCTGGCAATTAGCTTCGTTTCGGAATTCAAATGGAACAGGTTTAAGGCGCGGGGTTGGGGTTGGGGTTGGGTTTGCAGCGAGCGCCGCGAAGCCTTTGCCTTCATACGCTGGTGATGGGGATTTGGTTTTTGGGTGTTGCCGTACCGTTGCCCCTTCCTCAAGGAGAGGGGAAGCCTGGATTTTGTTTCTTGCCCCGTCAGACGGGGCGCTCGTTGGCAGAGGGACAAGGGCCAGGCTGGTAGCAGCCTCGCGCATCGATGAGGATAAAGCCTGTGGCTGTTATTTCTCTAACTCCTCTCCGATGAGGATGGAGATGGCAAAGCAGGAGTACGGAAGCTTTTTCTCCCTGCCCCGATTTGATCCCGTCCCATCCCGCTGCCTTCCGTGGAGCGGTTTGGCTGCGATGGTGGAGTTGATCCAGCTCAGAAAGGTCTCCTGGTCCCGATTCCCCATCTCCTGTGGGCTCCGCCGCCTCTCCCTCCCCATCTCGCTTTGCTGACCCGGCCGGTTCGGGGTTTGGCGCGTCGCTGCGAGGAGTTGGCTCGCGGAGGGAGGGAGCGAAGGCTGCGATAAATAAACCAGAGGTGGGCAGGAGAGGGATGGAGGCGACGACGTTCTCACCCGCTCAGCGAAGGTGACGGTAGGGCGGTGTGCGGTGGCAGAGGAACGTTCGTAGAGGGGGTGGTGGCGGAGCTGAGCCCCCCACCCCCCAAACCTGGGGGAAGGTGGATTTGTGGATCAGATTTGTCCTGTGAAATTTTCAGAGCGCTCCAGGGAAGGCGAGGGAGTCCGGTGATTTCCAGGGACCCTGAACGCGAATTCAGCCGGACCAGTGAGACCTGCCTTGCAGGTTACAAATTGGCGCTTTAGTTCCGGCTGATGCTAATTAATTTAATGTAATTAGTGTCTTTGGGTACCGCCGGGAGGATTGAAAGCGCTGCAGACAGCGAGTGATCCTCCTTCCTTGAGGTTGAGGACTGCAGGTGTAGATAAACCAGCCCTTCCTCTCGAATGTTTGATTTTTTGGGGGAGCGAAGCCACCGCTCGGAGGCGTTTATCCTGGCGGTGAGAAGTTTTCCTGCCGCCTTCTCTTCCACCCCCCCCTCCCCCCACGGTTTTGAGACCGGAGATTTGAATCCAGTTCCAGTTTCTGTGGGTGAAGGATGCTGAAACTGGGGCGGGGGGGTTGGTTGATGGTCCGGGGAGCCGTGTTTGTGCGAAGCCCCGGCTTCGTCTCTCTCCTTCCCTCTC